TATCGTAAAAGTATAATATTCTAATACTTCATTCTCAAATACGAAAAGAAATTAATAATAAACAATGTCATCAACTTTGGTCATATGAATATTGTTCAAAACAATCCTAAATATTTGGTCTTTATGCAAGATATTTATCGAATGAAATGAGAAAAAAGAGAAAAACAATTTCTCGTTCAATTAATTCATTTAGAAAATCTACATTATGATAATCTAAAATATAGTATTTACTAGCAGATCAAAAGTAACAAGAATATAGACTCCCTGCTAAACAATCAAATGAATAAAAATAAAGAACAATTATGTTTTTAAAATTGAATCCATGAAACAATTAGTAAAACAGTTAATTGAATAATAAACACAAAAAATATTTGTTGATTATCGGGTGATTTTGATTGATGCAATATTTTATTCGATTAATTTCAAATAGAGACTGACTAATTCTTGGAGTAAAAATTCAAATTTAATTGAATTTAAATCTTGGATTTGAACACATTAAACGACAGTTAATTAGGACCGTCGAATATTTAAATTGATCGGTATTTCAATCAATATTTCAATAAAAGACGATTGTTCTGTTCTACTGCAATTTTCATATTGAAATACATCTTTATTTTTAAACAAAAAATTGACTGAGTAAATTAATCGTCTACAATTCGAGTCGTAAAAGAATAAAATTGTTTAATTTGAAATATCCAATGAAACTTGATTCGGTCGATAAATAAATCGAAGATAAATTATTTTCATCATAGAATTTGTTCGATCTCAGTCAAGATTTCAGGCCAACAATCGAATATTTTTAATTCATCTCGCTTTTACATCGATTTGTTAAAGAATTAAATAAAAATAAAAACAGTTCGATGAATATATTAGAAATATCGACGTAAATATATTTTATATTAATTGAGTTCAAGTGAAAACAATTCTCTCTTCCCAATAAACAATATTCAATGTTCATTAACGAAATCAAATCGTAGAATAAATCAGTCGATATAAATAATCTCAATTCAAATATCGAATAATTCAATACATTTCGAAAGAAAACGAAAATCAAATGAGAAATCTTTGCTCGTTTTCCTTCTGATTGAGATGATCACACTCATACTCAATATAAAAATACAGTTTTCATTCTTAGTTCATGAATTTGCTCACCAGATGTATTTATTTATATAGATATATTCTTATTCGCTAAGTTTATAGACGGAAGTAATCGAGATAAAAGAAACATATTTATTTTATGAACAAACATGATAATTGACGTCATAGGATGTAGGCTGGCCTCCGATTGAGATTTTTCAGAAAAATAGGAATCCTTATAGGATTTTTTTTGTCTAAAAATAGGATTTTCCATAAAAAATGGCAAAAATATAGGTATGTCTTATTTTTGTCAAAACATATAATTTTGTTAGTTTTATTACTCGATATTTTTCCTTTGATAGAATCAGCATAAAGGATTACACTTTACTTACAGTTGTTCTGTAATTCTTTGATATCAAAGTAATTATTTAAATCAAATTGCGAAGGTTTTTCTTCATATAAGCAGCAATTGCTTTATAAATCTTTCGAACATCTTCATAAAAAGATTTTTTTTCATCGAAATTAAGTGATGATATTAATTTTTTTGTCTGTTCACCTATGAAAATGATGTTGATTGATGAAGAGAATTTTGATTCAACTTACCAATTCTAATTTCTTTATCTGCAACCCATATAGCAGATTGCTCAAGATCAATTTTTAACAATTCTTGTCCAGACTTTTGTTGAACAGAATCTGGTTTTAAGAATGCCAAAAGAACATTTCGATATAATTCAGTAAGTTCTTTATATAATAAATGAATCAAAGGTTCTTCACATTGAAAGAATGTTAAAAAACGATCGAATATATTTTGACATAAAAACAAAACAAAATTAAGTTTAACTTTTGATAAATTTGATGATAAAATTGATTTGATATTATCATAACGTTTATTTTTCTGGATTTGAGAAGGTTGTTTTTCAGGTAAAAATCGAAGAAAATAATCAGAAATAACTTCCCATTGAACTAAACAAAAAAAATACATATAGAGATATGAAAAAAAATTAAACATACTTAAAATTCGATCAACAACTTTTCCCATTAAAACCCATCTTGTAACACAAAAATATAAAATTGTTTTTTCTAACGCAGAATCAATATCGTCCACTACATTTTGAAAATCTTCCTTCCGAGCTGGTGAACATTTAAACCAAGAATATAGATCCAAACAAAAACTATCCACATACCATTTTGACGATACCATACCACTTCTAAAAGCGTTGTGCACCGTATGAATGGTGCAACCACCAATTCTCAATAAACACCCTCCTTGTTTTTTCATTTCCATATTTATCAAATTTTCAAGTGAAATATTAACATTTGGATTATCTCTGCCAAGCATAAGGAGCTGATTTAAATTTAATCCATCAGTAGCAAATGATTCAAGAATAATATCACGAATTGTTGTAGCATATGCATGACCTAATATAACTGATTTGTAAAATCTATTTACAACCTTTTGTTTTTCATTGCACCAATATCTAAAAAACATATCCAATTGCTTTTTATTTTGATTATTAGTTTGTTCGTCAAATATAAGTACAAATTTATCAGCTTTTTTAACATCTTCAATCATTTTTTTTTTAAAATAAGGTCCTAAACCATGTGAAATGACATAAGACATCTTGTCGGATTGAATACTAAATTTTTTAGCAATAGAAGAATCAGGAAACATTAAAGAGAATAATTCATTTAATTCATCACAAGAGTTGTAGCTAAATCCTTTTTGAGCAACATTTAAAGACCAAAGAATTTCAGCTTTTGTTATTTGATCTTCTAAACTTAGAGGTTTATCTTTGTTGTTGTTTTTCTCCAAAAATGCAATAGAGGTAAAATTAGATGTTGATTCATTAGCAGGACGTGATGATGATGGTTCAGATAAAACAGTAAATTTCGTATTTTTTTTCCATTGATTAAACTTTTGTATATGTTTAGAATTTTTCATATGTTGTTCGATTGCTTTCCAACCTTGATTTCCACAATCGAGATCAGTTGTTTGACATACACTACATTTAAAAGTTGATTCTTTTGAACCACTTTTTAACCACGATTTCACCGGATCGTTATTGCAATCGACTCGACTAAGCCAACCTGTATTAAATTTAGTTAAATTTTTTGGCATTATTTTTGTAAATAAAACAGCACACAATAATTTATTGATTAGATTTTTGTTGTATCTACAATAATTGATACACAAACATAAACGAAAGAATTTTTTCAATAGAGAAATTTATACATGTCGCATGTATCTGCAAAAATTTATAGCAAAAATACACATTTGTATATACGTGAAACTACAAAAAAAACTTCATGGGACACATGATTATTTTGTATGCATTAGTTTTATCCTTTTGACTATTGGATCATTAGAGAAATTGTCGAAGATGTGAAAATACAAATAATATTACCTACAATAGATATCGCCGTCGTACGTGTATTAATTGACAGCGTCTATACATGTGCATATATATATATATATATATATATTCGATCTTTTTTTAATGTATAAAGACTGACTTTATCAGTACTCACTAGCTTGTCGGTGTAAAATTCGGCTAATACTCATTGAATAATCTTTTATTTTCTCATATTTTTATAAAATCAGTTATATTTCTCTGTTTTTTCGATAAAATATAGGTAAAATAGGAAAAGCAGTCGAAATATAGGACAAATTAGAGGATTCGTCAAAAATATAGGATTTATAGGAAAAATAGGTCGAATCGCAGCCCAGGATGTAGGTCATTTATAACTATTGTATTTGATTATATCAAATAACATTTATTAATAGCTTCAAATTTCTATATCAAACAATTAAATAATGCTTTATATCTTAACAAACGATTGTTGATACGTATTACTGTTATAACCTCTTAGAAATGAGGTTACTTCTGAAAAGAGAAAGAAAATCTATTTACTCATACTTAGTATTAATATTTGAGAGGATGTTTGAATAAGCGTTTTTATCCTATTTACATCTATATGACATCTTCTATAAATATATTTATTAAACTCTTCAGATTAAAATCCATATGGAATTATACCATGTAATTCATTATCAATGATTTAAACTGTCAATTATATCGAAACACTATCAAATGCTTAAGCGAGTCATTTTTTATATAGTTAATAATGTGACAATTGTTCTATGTATTATTTATTTGATCGAAATGTCAATAATGAAAAATTCTCTATTTTCAATTTCCCTTTCTACTCTATGACTTATTGATATTACATGTATTTATTTTATAAAACTTATTCTATTCAACAAACACTTGTTAATGACTTTACAATATAAATATTTAATATATACTCATACAAATGAACAATAAGTACAACGAAATGTTGTGGAGTAAATCCTATCCTTGTTTCTTCTTAGTTATTTATAACGAAAACAAACAAATCTTTTTAGATATAAAAGTTATAATAACCTTTAAAAAGTTCATTTAACATTACATTTTATTTGAACAATAAAATAATATTTAATACATGTAATTCTTTAAACTAGACGTTTTTGATTAAACGACTCCCACACGATTAATCACGGTGAATAACTTTGTTTTATTCAAATAGAAAACAATGCATTCAACATATATAACATTGTTTCCGGATGATAGATTCGTAGAGAAAAGAAAAATTGATTCTGCTTGATCTAGAAAAATGATGAATGTGTTTTTCTCCTTGTTTTTTTTATTATATATACAAAAAAAAATACTTCAACTATTTTATAATCAACAATTGTTATATAACGTTGATGTTACTTTTAATATTTTAAATTTTGTAGAATTTGTTTGAACTATACATTTAATTGGATGATTTTTCTTTAATATTTTTTTATTTTGATGTTCAGTTGTTAAATATTTATAAAATATTTGGTAATGATCTAAACCTAACATTCGTATAGCTGATGAACGATAATGTTTAACACCTAAGATGTATAAGAAGAAATTTATACCCAATGCACCAGTATTTAATAATTCACTTAAACGTTTTAATATATGTAATGTTAAAACAAAACGAATATTACAATGATATTGTAAATGACGAATGACAAAATAGGATAATGTTTGAACAATTGCATATGGAAAATATAATGAAAGAAATATTAATGATAATAATGTTAATGTACGAGTTAATTTTGAACGTATATGTTCATTTTGATTACTTACAATTTGACGAGGAGCATGAAGACGTCTTAAAATAGCTAAATAAATAAATAGAAATAAAATGTTATTTGAGAATTTTTTCTAGTAAAATTTAACTAACCTGTATTACTTATAATTAAAAAAAAAGCTGGTATAATTGTATAACATAAAAGATGAAAAATATAATTATGCCAGAAAACAAAAAATTTTAATTGATTTGATTTATTTAATGGTGATATACGACATGAACATATTTGTTTTGAAAAAATCTTTTTTGTTTGATTTAAATTAAATCTTTGATTATAAATAGCACTATATTGAAAACCAGTTGGACGACAAAGCCATTCTTTATAGATTAGATGTGGAATATTTATAATTAATGATACGATTAATAATAATAATATAATACGTCGAGCACATTTTGCATTACATAAACGACGTGATAATTTTGGAAATTTTTTAATCGATGGATTACAAACAAGTATATAACGATCAATTGTTAAACCAACAATTGTCCAACATGATAATAATATAATTGTATATTTAAAATAATCATAAAATTTACAAACAATTGAATAACGAAAATTTAGTAAACTTGTAGAAAATAAATAAAGTGATAAATCATTTAATGATTGAATAACTTCGTATAATAATGATAAAAATTCAAATAATGATAATGCACGAAGATATTCAACAAATGAATGTTGAGATACTGTGAAACGGCATACAACAAAAAAACATATTAAATTACCAATTAAACCAGTTAAACCGAATATGAATGTACCTGATAGAAAAGAAAAATATTTCGTAGTAAGATATTTAAAAAAAAAGAAATGAAGCTCTTATATAATTAAACGTTTGTTTTTGTGTACTCAAAAGGTGAGTACACTACTAGAATCGGTCAGTGTGTCCATCCGTCCGGCCGTTTACACGATAAGTTTCGAAAGGAGAGGTAGGTTTGGATGAAAATTTCTACACAATTCAGTCTCATCAAGATCTCGGTCGAGTTCGAAGATGAGCCTAATTAGTCGGACCATTCCCGAATTATTGAAAAAATACTAAAGTTTCCCTATGATTTTCATATACACTTTTTGCAGTACACATAACTCTCGGATAAAATTCGAAG